ATTTTTTACAAGATTTTAAAAATGGGCTCATATATAGAGAGCTTCTCCCAAGTGAGAATTCCCTCATGACTTTAACGATTTGTGAACTGACACCTATCCCATTTTACATACTCATGGTTTCAACGCAGTGTTTTTCATATTTGACAATCATGTGTGAAAGTTTTCACATTGCTTATGTATGATCAAAACCCAGTAAGAGGTCTTTTGTGTCTTTCACAATCACCATGAGTGATGAAAGCTTTCCCAGTTTACTTATATACAGAGGGCATTGCCCTATTGGGAGCTCTGTTTTAGGCAAAAACTGCTTTTGCTGAAAGCTTTCCCACATTGTGAGTCCTTCCATGTCTTTGACAAGCTCTACGTGTGCCGAAAGCTTTCCCACACTGCTTACATTCATAGGGTTTCTCCCCAGTGTGAATCCTTTCATGTTCTCGAAAATGACTGCTTTTGCTGAATGCTTTCCCACATTGCTTACATACATATGGTTTCTCCCCAGTGTGAACTCTTTCATGTCTCTGACAACATTTTTGTGTGGTAAAAGCTTTCCCACATTTCTTACACACATATGGTTTCTCCCCATTGTGAACTTTTTCATGTCTTTGATAAGAACTTTTCGCGCTGAAAGCTTTCCCACATTGCTTACATGCATAGGGTTTTTCTCCAGTGTGAACTTTTTCATGTCTCTGACAACATTTACGTGTGGTAAAAGCTTTCCCACATTTCTTACACACATATGGTTTCTCTCCACTGTGAACTTTTTCATGTCTTTGACAAGCACTTTTTGTGCTGTAAGCTTTCCCACACTGCTTACATTCATAGGGTTTGTATCCCTCGTGAGCTCTTTCATGTATTCGACAATAACTACTTGTGCTGAAAGCTTTCCCACATTGCTTACATGCATAGGGTTTCTCCCCAGTGTGAAATCTTTCATGTGTTTTGCAAGCACCATATGAGCTGAATGCTTTCCCACATTGCTTACACACATATGGTTTCTCCCCAGTGTGAATTCTTTCATGTGTTCGACAATGACTGCTTGTGCTGAAAGCTTTCCCACACTGCTTACATTCATAGGGTTTCTCCCCAGTGTGAATTCTTTCATGTGTTTGAAAATTACTGCTTTTGCTGAATGCTTTCCCACATTGCTTACATACATAGGGTTTCTCCCCAGTGTGAACTCTTTCATGGGTTCGATGAGCACTTTTTGTGCTAAAAGCTTTCCCACATTGCTTACATACATAAGGTTTCACGCCACTGTGAACTCTTTCATGTATTTGGGAATATATGTGAGTGGTGAAAGCTTTTCCACATTGCTTACATACATAGGGTTTCTCCCCAGTATGAACTCTTTCATGTCTTTGACAACATCTACGTGTGCTGAAAGCTTTCCCACACTGCTTGCATTCATAGGGTTTCTCCCCAGTGTGAACTCTTTCATGTGTTTTACAAGTACTATATGAGCTGAAT